CTTTCTGGAATTGGATCGCTGCAGGATACAAAGATCCCACCGCAGTGATGCAGCCCCCAGTGCAAATTACCGGCATGATATTCAGCAGACGTCGAAGTTTCTTCATCAAAAAACCGTCTCCTTAGCTCAATTGGGAGAGCGCCAGACTGAAGTCTCAGTCACTAAATCTGGAGGTATCGTGTTCGATCCACGAAGGGGACAACGTGCCTGAGCTCGCTCAGGATTCTTCGAACTTTCTTTTTGCGCTTGCGTGAACCTTGACAGTGTGATGGCGTGCAGGGAAATGCATGCCCTCGAATCTTTTTGGCGTTGCCCCTTGAATTGCTTTTTTGCATATGTACCATTGCTTTGTAAACCCTGTCGAACGAGAGCACTGTGTGTTGGAACGGGGTGAGTTGTCAATCGGTGTAAATAGCGATCGGACACGTTGGTGGTGGAATGGAAGTATTGTGGTCAGATGAAGAGAAAAGGATAATGAATAAAGGCTATGCTACGCTATGGTACTTGCTACTAAGCAGTTCAAAAACCAAGGGCCAATGCTCAAATCATCAGAAGCGCGATGCTTACTCCGCTCCTCTCGCACCGCTTGCGTGCATGTCCGCGTCGGTAACGGGCACACTCTCCCTCCGCAATTGCTCTGGAGCTCTCGCTTCGTTGCCCTTCTTGATGCCTCTCCCTCCTGGCGTCAAGAACGTGTTGTCCAAGTTTGGTAGGTCCTCACCAGGAGTGGGAGACCAGTGCTTGCTCTTCCATGGGGTAACGTGGAGAATGTACATGGTGTCAATCTCCTCAAGAGTACGGCCGTGGGATTCGCAGAGGAAGAAGTAGACTACGACTGCACCAGTGAAACAGCAGGCGGCGAAGACATAACCGTATCTGTAGTCGATGGCGGACGTAATGTAAGGTGTGACTGAGAGTGGTATCAGTATAGTCGCGGAAAGACGTGGATGGAGTAGCATTGACTTACAGAAAGATATGAGGAAATTCCATGTCCAGTTGCTGGCCGTTGCGAGAGCCATTGCCTTTGCACGGTATCGGCTAGGGTAGATCTCACCGATCACAGCCTGGGGCACGACGTCAGTATATGTCTCACATGCACTTCATACAGCCAGAACTTACCCAGATGATTGGCCCCCATGTCATAGCATAACCAGCGATGAAGAGGCACGCAAATGTGATCATGGCATATCCGACGGGCTGGCTCGTAGTACCGTCGCCGTTATCCAAAGCGAAGTGTCCGAGCGACGCGAAGACGAGGAAGCACATGAACATCCACAAGCCTCCAGTGATCAGTGCGGGTCTTCTTCCAAATCTCTCAACGATGTAGAGACCAGGGAATGTCATGCCAAAGTTGACTCCTCCCAGGATCATAGAAGTGACGAACGGGTCTTCAATACCGACGGATTGGAAGATGGTAGTTCCATAGTAGAAGTAGCTACAAAGAAGTCAGTACAAGATGTGTGTCAATGTGCGGTGTAGACTTACTAGTTGGCACCCGTAAGCTGCTGAAGGGCTTGCAGACTGACTCCAAGGAGGACACGATACGCCATACGTGGTCCTGTAAAGATCTCGTACCAAGGGTGGTGACCTCCGCCCGCTTGCTCGGCCTCCAACTTCTCTTGGATCTCCCGGACTTCGCGCTGGACTTCCGGGTGTTCCTGGGGGACACCGTACGTGATGGCGATGGTGTGTATCGCCGAGTCAACCTTGCCCTTGCGGTATTCCCATCGTGGAGATTCCTGCATAAAGAGAATTCCGAATATCATGAGTGCTGACCAGATGAAACCAACGCCCATTGGAATCTTCCATGATGCTGAGCTACCATCGGACTTGGTACCGTAGTTGATACAATAAGCCGTAAAAATGCCGAGGGTGATGAAGAGCTGGTAACAGGACACGAGTGCACCTCGGACGTAGCGAGGTGCAGTTTCGGATTGGTACATGGGCGTAAGGACCGAAAGTGCGCCTACACCCAAGCCTGCGACCCAACGGCCAAGGGAGATCTGGTACCAAATGTTCGTTGTAGTAATCTGTACGATGACTCCGACGCAAAAGATGATGTTCCAGAAGACGATGGAGTATTTGCGACCGAATTTGTCGGCGATAGGGGCCGCGATTAGAGCACCCATTAGGGTACCGATAGACAGCAGTGCAACGATCAAGCCAGACTTCCAGTTGCTGAAAGCGCGCTCGCCTGTTTCAGGGTCCGTCTGATCCGCGAATTTGTTCAAGAAATCGGGCATCTCCAGGAACCCAGAGATTTGACCAGTGTCGTATCCGAAGATGAACTAGGGGCTGTTAGCTGAATACCTGCGCATTCGTTCATTTGATACGTACACCACCCATCGACACAATAATCGCCATGGCGATAATGCGCATTCGGAAGATCTCTTTGACACCGCCTTTCAACATCTGGGGCTTCTTCTCCGGATCTTGGTCCATCATCGTGGAGGAAGCAGGCGAGGCATGTGAATGCCCACGGAATCGATCGAGTATCGCCATAGCTGGTGGAAGAGAAGAGGAGTGCCGATCGAGTGTGGAGGAGAGTATCAAAAGACATCTGGGTCGTGGGGTCTCCAGGTCCCTATAAAGCGCCCACGATTGCTCCGCTTTTGGACACATGGAGACCCCAATGCCGTCATAACGGCATGATTAACCGCAAGTCTTCACCGTGTTCACCATGACTACTGCGCAGTCTAGCAAAATCCAAAGGCATCCCGTGGTCGTGCGCCGTGCGGTTGACGACGTCATGGTTTGCGTGATCCAGGGCGGCCACTAACTGCATCGCCATCGACGACCCTGGGCAATCAAATGCTTGAATGTATCAAGCTATCGGCAAGCGCTGCGGTCCTAGTGGCTGCGGGCACACTCCGGGAGCAATCTTAGAGCCTCCAAAGCTTGGCCTATGCTCTTTCCCCCGGACATCAACGTCGCAGAACGTCATCTTCACTTGGACATGTGGGGTAGCGCAAGAGCCGTTGTGTGTCAGTTGAGTTGTTCGTTGGCTATCGTCGTATCGGAGCCGAGAGATGCCGATATGTCAGCGGAGGCTCGGACTTTGCCATGTCGTGGGAATGATGGTAGGTGAGGATGATGACAATGCACCGCAAGAACTCCAGCCAGCGCTGGCTTGGCAACTGGCGCGACGATCATTCAATAATAAATACCTAAGCACACTAACTCGTCACCTTGACATTTTAAATCCTCACCACAGGATACAGGCAGGAGTACGTACAGCACGATACGCATCGGACGAACGTTTACGGAGCGGATCTTGTCGGTGTTGTTCTCCATTTTTTTCTTTTCTACGGCCCTTCGATACATGCGTATTGTGGGTCACGATCGCCACACCACGGGGCTCCCACTGCCGTGAAGAGCCTCCGGATTTGAAGAATTTGAAAGTACCCAAGTACCGGTACCTAAGCACCTACGTCATCTCGCTTGGTCACCCCTGAGCATGCTGCTCACGTTTCTAGAGTTCTAGCCTCTGCGGCCCAGCTACCGGATCTGGACCTCGATATCTGAAGTTCGAGAATTGCTTTCTACCGTAAGCTACTGCATTGATGACAATAGCTGCGAACTTCGTACGGGAGTGCGCATGGGCAGTGCATCAAGAGCGACGACCGATGATCGGAAGTTGTACAGTCTATAGAGAGCGCTGTTCCAACACTGTTAGCAGCGACTGGAGAATGTTGAAGACCTTCGGGTCAATGGTTTCGTGTAACACACACGCATACATGCAACGACAGCTCGAGCACTCGTCTTTCCATGAGTAACAAAAGCACATAAACTGTCCGTTTTAGTTGTTCCTTCTTCTTCCAGGTTGACGCTAAAGTATACATACACACTTCGCATCGACAGACAGAAACCTGCGCGCCAATCGTACCTGCCATTTCTACCGATTCCATTAGTAACATCAGCTGAGGTGTGCCCAGACTGTCGAGTATCGAAGTAACCTTACTCGTGCACGAACCCGTTGCAAACCAAAATCGTCTGCTGAGAAGAACACCTCGTCTACGCGATACACTGTTGAGAGCGGGTACACGATCCGTGCCTCTCCAGTTCCTGACGTGGCGTGAGCCTACCACTTCCTATCTGCCCACACAATAAACGAAAACAGTCCCGATACGGCAACTGTAATGAATAAGTGTGGATCGTAGGTAAGAGACACGGGTACGGCTTCCGATTAATTAGAATTCTACCCGGTTAGACATCTGTGGGTAGCGTACCCGAGACATGGTTTCTTCTCCAGCTCGATCTAGTTTGACTCAGTTATCCAGCTGCACGACTACCTTTCTCACCAACGCCATTTGCGACTACAGAAACATTTGCTGTTGTCAATCTTGCTATATACATACGTTTGAGGGCAAAGATCTATTCTCGCGGATATAAGAACCGGGTATAGCGCCGCCTACCGATCAAACCTGGGAAGCTATATATGATACCAGCCCGTGCATCCGTATTGGCACATGTTAGTCCTGGTCGTACAGATCTTGAGTGCGTACCACAATAGGCAATTTAGCAGTTCGGACCGACAGGCGTCGAAACTAGGCGTCAGACACGGCTACATTTGCCGGCGAGATACGCTTCATGTAGTGTACCAAGAAGTCTATCGGCGTTACTGTGACGCTACAATGGCTAGTTACAACGAGGAAGGGAAAGAGAACGACGGAGTTGATAAGTCTGTACGGGCTTGAAGTTTATCGTTGGATACCGTGGTATAGATGCAAAGATTGCAATTTTATTACAGCTATATGAGCACCGTCCGTTCCGACTTCAGACCAAGGAAAGACTACTGTTACCTAGTGGCCCCAACAAGGAGTCGAGAGATCCAGACATCGCGGTCGACGATCCTCAGCATCCGGGCGGAAAACATAGAAAGCACATGTGATACGAACGCCTTGATTTTCCTTTGAGACCTACCCGTACCCACCCAGAGAAAGATGCAAGTAAGTAGTATTGAGGCACCGTCGCAATGCTAAAGGTCATTTCGTGAAGCGTTAATTAGGGTTCGTCGTGTTGTTGAAGGTGCCCGACATGCCTCGATTGGGCATGGCAGGAGCGTTGTTAGCAATCCCTGATGACGGTACTCGCGTCATGGAGGGTAGCGCAAACGGTGGGGCCGGTGCAGGAGCTGGAGGCTTTCGAGGTAGATGTGAAGGTGTACCATACTTTGCGATGCTGCTTTGGGATGAACCCGGGTCACCAGACTGAGAAGCAGTTCGGTTCATGGATATGGCTGAGTTGTTTCCCTGCATACTTTGAGGCGACCCAAACGGCGGTGTGGAGACAGCGGAAGGGTTAGGTCTTGACATCTGTCCAGGCATAGAAGCCTGGGCAGACATTTGGTATCCACCATAGCCGTTCATCTGAGGCTGTCCCTGCATCATGTTTTGTTGCATTCCAAAGGGCATGTTACGTCCACCGGGCACAAAAGCTTGGGTTTGCGGGTTGAACTGACCCCGGTTATAACTTCCAGGAAGAGGGTGCTGGTTGCGGTTGGGCTTTCCGTTGTACGCATTTGAGGCGAACTGTCCATATGGGTAGCCAGGCATAGGTGCCTGGTGAGGTGCGGACATTGGCCGGTTGCCGGGACCATTTTGGGCACCATATGCGCCCTGACCCATATGGAATGATGGCTGCTGGTTTGGTTGAGACCAGCCTGAGTTCATAGGCATATGTTGAGGTTGCTGATAGGTATCTTGGTAAGACGCCATCTGTGGATTGGCCATCTTTGGGGTGACCTGGGAGGGCATACCAGCGTTCTGGAACGATGACATACCCCGCTGGAAGTCCGTTGATAGATCATACCCATTCGGCATCTGTCCATAATTGGGGTACGTCATCATCGACCCATTGGGAGCCTGGTACTGCTGACCAGCCCAGCCATACTGTGACTGCGCTTCCGGGGGCATCATGCCCGGATACGGGTTGCTGTATGTTGCCGGAGGCGATGCACCAGGGTTCATAGTCGCGTACGGCGCGTTCTGAGCAGGTGCTGGGTAGCCGTTGTAGTAGACCGCATTGTCTCCGGTATATGTAGCCACAGGGTACTGTTGCGGGTAGTAAACATTGAAGCGGGACCGAGCCTGGAAGTCGTCGTCGTCGTAGTTACGCTGCTTCTTGGGTTTCTTCTTCCCGGCAGCTGAACTTGATCGTGAGATGTCCTTCCCTTTTTCTTTGTCTTCTCCGGATCCGCTGGCTTCGGCCGTGCCGGGCTCTTCACTTTCTGCACTACCAAAGATGCGCTGACGAGCCTCACGATATCGCGCCTCTCGCTCCTCTCTGGACAGAGCGGCTTTGTCTTTGTTGCCTTCACCATCGTTGCTGCCCTCGCTGCCACCCATTTCAGAGGTCGTCTTCGAGGCATTCTGCGAGTTAGCTCCAGTGTTTGTACCTGATTTGCCATCGTCGCGACGCATGATCTTCCGAGCAGGGAGCTCTACGGGAGGTGTATTGGTGCCCTTGGCGGGATCTACCATCTGTGAAACGGGGGGAGGACTACTAGTAGTAAGCAACAGAGCACGCGAAGCTTGATGAATACATACATTCTACAGTAAGGGGTACGTGTGATCTTTACACCCGTCATGGTATTGTCAACTACATGACCGAGCAAGTAGTAGTCGGCAAGACGGTGAGCAAGCATCCTGTAAAATGTATTACAGTTCGGCAGACACAATTCGTTTTCACTGCGCGCCGTTAGTAGGGAATTCTAGCAGATCCGCCACGCATGACATACCGAGAGTCTTTGATGAAATCAATGAAGTCTTGTTCTATCTTCACAACGAACAGCCGATCACGTGGAGACCGTAGCGCCTCGAGCAACTTCTCGTCTGGAATGGCGGGCATGTTCGGAACACCATTCAGTGAAGGCATGCCGTTGACCAGAGGCTGTGGCATGGGCCCCGCGCCGTTTAGCGACTGGTTAGGGTCGTACAATGTTTGCGGACCATTGGGTAGCGTCGGAAACCGACCTGCGGGAACCCCTCGATGAGGTTGAGGATTCATGACAGCTATTTCATGTAATTGGTCCCGAAAGGCACGCGCAGCGCCATGATCAGACCCCTGCCTGGAGTCTGCAACGACCGAGTCCGGCGGAGACGTGACATCCTCTTCCTCGACTGCCCTGAGGCTAGCACTGTCATCCGGTCGTAACGACTCCTTCTCGTCCAGTGCAAATGTTGTCGCAGAAGCAACACTCTTTCCATCAATGCTGGGAGGTTTCCCAGATCCATCTGATGAAGATAGCTGAGTGCTGCTGTCCTCGGTGACAGACACCTTTACCACAGCCGCAGACTGGGGCCTGTCGGGGACATCTCCTTTTGCATCCGTGGAGCGTGTTTCTGAAAGCTCAGCAGGAACTGTCTGCTGCGCGGGCTGCGACATGGCATTTTCAGCGCTGCTGCTCGCATCGATATCCTCTCGCCTTTCCGCAAGTATTTTGGGCGCTGCTTCGCCATGCATGGGTGTGGCGCGCGCCTTCTGGGCGACTGCGGGTATTTTGGGTGTCGCGACAGGCGGTCTCGCTTTCGGAGCGGAATCCTTCGACATCTGAGGCTTTATGGCGGAAGCCGCAACCTAGCGCTGTTAGCACACCGCCCATGGAAATTGCTTGTTGAAATCCTACCTTGGCGAACGACAGAGGCCTTGGAGGCGCTTGTTCTGTGGAAACCGGTGTCGCAGATGCCATGGCTGAGAGGCGATGTTTGGTACGGTAGAAGACTAGATAGGTGGTAGGTTGCGACGTAGATGGCCTATGCGCAGTGCGCGGTAGGTGCCCAAACGCGGGGACGGCGAAACGGGCTTTCAGGTAGTCTCGTAGCAGTAAGGCTGCTGAATGAAGCGACAGACGCCTGCTGGTGTAGCCGAAAAAATCACCAAGCTCAGCGCCGTACGTGGGTCGTCGTGGACGAGAATGAAGGTGGTGTTAACCGAAGTGATGGACGTAAATTTTTTCAGGAAATAGGGTGCTCAAGGAAAGTCGCGATAACCGGAGCCAGAAAGCTGGACATGTTGGTGTGCCGACATTCGTGGGAAAAGTGTAGAGGTGTATGGGTTTGCTGGGAGCCAAGGTGAAGTAGCCTTGACGACAGGCCTGCAACGACGTAGTTTGGACGTCTAGCGTGTAAGAAGCTGCCAAGCACCCAGATGTAGGGCGCGAGACAAGGGACGACGGGTGAATTGGGTCGTCGACGGGGAGCAGTACAGGGCGGGCGGGGACCGGGCTGGTATGCGGGGTGCAGCGCAAGGCGAGTGAAGGATAGAGAAGCGATGATGGAAGCCGCCCGTGGGCGGGCTTAGTCATGCCGCTCCGCCCAATTCTCCGGCCAAGCTGAAGCTGCGCCTTACCGCATGCGACCAAGGCCCGTCGCGTTTCCTCGCCGAAAGTGACAGAAGAAGATTGAACTTGGCGAGGCTTGATTGCGTCTTTACCGGCTGCTGCTCTGACGCAAGAGTCGCGTCGTGCTCCTTTCCCTCCATTCCCACCAGCAATACCAAAGGACTTGGCCAACAAAAACACCCCTTGGATTCGACGTGTACCGCATCCAAGTCCGCCATGTTCCGCCGCCCGGGTGCAGGCCGCTCCAAGGCTTCCGCAGATACTCTCTGCCAGAAGTGCTTGAAGAGAGGACACTACAGCTACGAGTGCAAGGCGCCCGCGCAGGAACGCCCGTACAAGTCTCGACCTTCTAGGACACAGCAACTACTCAACCCCAAACTGCAGCCTAAACTCACCACCGAGGTACCCGAGGACCTGCTGCGCAAGAAGGGCGTCGCCGATGAGATTTTGAAGAAGAAGGAAGAGGATCGCAAGCGCGCGCGCTCACTCTCTACGTCGTCTGCCGACTCTGTCTCCACCATCTCGACCAACCGCTCCCGTTCCCGCTCGCGATCTCCCCCACGACACAAGCACAACGGACGAAGACATCACGGGGACCACGACAAAGCGCTGCGGAAGCGTAGCAGGCGCTCGGTCTCTATGGACTCGCGCTCCTCACGCGCATCCGACACTGCAGACAGGAACACACGGCGGCGCATGAGCTCCTTCAGTCCTGGTGAGCGAGGCCGCCGAAGAACCAGATCCAAGTCAAGATCCAGGTCAGCGCGCATGCAGATATCACATGAGAATGCCAGGGGAAGAGCGCCGCGAAGCATGAGTGATAACGAAAGGTCGCGGAGCAGGAGTGCAAGAAGAGACAGGCGGCGACCAGCTCGACGGTCAGTCTCAAGATCGCGGTCGGGGAGCGCGGATCCCATGGATACGTCAGACGAGCGCAACCCACCAAACGGAGCCCCAAGAGGCCAGCCAAGCGTCTCGCATTCAGTACATCGTGAGCCTTCCAGGCCACTCTCGCCATACCATAGCAGTCGCGATCGCAGCCCGAGTCCCTACTCCAAGCGCAAGCCTGTACGCCGATCGCGTAGCCCACACGAGGCAAGAAATGGAGGACGGGCCCGTGACAGTCCGCGTGGACCGGCAAGAAACCGTTTCGACGATCGGACAACCGTCGCGAACAGCAGAGTTGCGCCGCCGCCAGCGCAAGCACCCCCACCCCAACAAAGAGAGCGCAGCCTGAGCCCGTACAGCAAGCGTTTGGCCTTGACCAAAGCCATGCAGTCAGGGTAGACAGAACAGAGATTTTGTTATTTGGGCAAGTGGCCACAACTGTATACCCACGCCAACCTAGGGAAAAACTGAACAGCCTGGAGCCTACGTTGACTTAAGGTCACCTCCTTTGCAAGGTTTTGGGTCAATGTAGTCTGCAGACCTGTTCAGTTTTTCCCTTGTATGAGGTGTACCGGCACTTGAAAACTTGCATTGAAATTAGACGGTGGGCAAAGGACAGTCGTAGCATATTGGGTCATAATGGACAATCAAAGTCGGAGGCGCTATATTGGCTTCTGTGGGCTGGGGGTTTGGGACGGGACCAATTCCAAGCATTGTGGGAGGGCGTTTCTTAATAATTTAATTGCCAAACGAATAGAGTCAAATAAGCTTTTGCATTGTTCTTTTCGATTCTCCATACGCCTCTTCCTTCTTCCTGTTCAAATGACTTTTGTATGATTCCCGTTCCTTCTCCTCCCACCTGATCACCGTCCCAGTTCTGTGCAAACTTCGTCCCATGTCCTGACATGCCATCTGCCATGTCAACTCCCCACCTTCAACACTGTCAATATAAGAGCTGCTTATGGTCAATTAACAGACGAATACTAACAACATACCGAATTCTAACCGTAGCAGTCCTTCGTCGATGAAAGGCTACGGTTCGTATGAACGATGCCTCAATTGCGTTACCAAGGATTCTCAGTTGAATCCGAAGACCCACTGTCGTATCGAGATAGGATCGCGACCAGATGAGTCCTCTGTAATGTTCTCTTCCATGTAATTGACGACTGCGGAGGGCGACTGTCCATATACCCACTTGAAAGCATTTTCAATTATTCCAAGATCGTCATCCCCAAAACTATCGTAGATGAGGAATCTCTCTGCGAAATCGTTCCGAGTCTGTTGGTGTTGGATATATTGTCCAAACGTGATGTCGCAGCGTTCCCGAATTTTTCCAAAGTCTGCCATGGCCTTCAGGTAAAATCTCCCGAAAGCGAGCGCTTGGCGGCTCATCAAGTCAGCGCGCTGTATCTGTCCGAGGACATTGCTGTAGGCTGCTTCAATGATATTGTGCACCAGTTCCGAATCCGTTAAGCTTTCTAGACAGTTCAGGGTGATGCTGGCGCATATGTACAGCTTCATCGCGCAGTCCACGATGAAGGCCAAGAGGACTGTATCAGGCTTGTTGAATCTACCATGCTCGATTAGCCCCAGTGACCATAGGGTCTCTTCAGATGAAAACCATGGTGTACCGTAGGGTCCTGGTCGTGGCATGAAGGTGTTGATTGAGGGTGCTTTAGGGGCGCAACATAAGGGCAGCACCGTCGTATCATCTCGGGAAGATCTCCGGACTTGCTGATTAGAATCTCCGAATATCATGGCGTGATGACTCGCGCCTTCCTGGGCCGATTGCATGTGGAAGCTGGATTGATGTCGACCTGCGAAGATCTGACCTGGCTGAGGTTCTGTGTAGAAAGACATACGGAGTGATTCTTAAGGAAAGACAAAAGTACCCTTGCGACATCGGAAAGCCTTTATACATGCTATCCATTACTATCTGTTAACTTGCATGATTGATGTAATGTTTGACTAGTGATTTTTCTTGGGGTGCATGGAGAACTCGGGAACCTTGGTTGATGCGAGCAAGACACGCAATACTCTAAGAAGATACTGGAACATGATGGCCCTTTGTACAAATCAAGATGTGATATGAAGTATCTCCCGCGGAGTATACATAATGATGATGAGTTGTGTTGTTGGCCAAACCCGCCCAAGGTCATGACGCGAAGACGGACGGGAATTGCGAGCTAGGTAGGCCGCTAGCGCGCCAAGCAAATTATTTGTGCCATTCAATTTTCTCCGCGAAGCTCCTGTTCTTCTTTTCTTCACATATTGTCAACGGTCTCCAATAACCCTAAGGTCCTTCCTTTACGAATGGATTTGCCTTTTCCAGAGCAGACCCAGAAGAAATGCACAGCCGTTCTAATCCTGCAACTCGTCCACGTCGACTTCGGTCGGTATTGGAGTTGCGGGTTCGCTTTAGGCCAACATACTTCGGTGCGCACCACTCTCAGGGGCCTTGTGACCCTGGTGTCGACTTCGCCGTGATGAAGAGATGTAGATTTCATGGCGGAGATAATTCCCTGATGATTATTATGCGTGGCGCTGGGGGCTATATGCGTTGACCCGTCACCGGTATCTAGGTCCGCCCCCACTTACTGGTAACCATAAGCTGCATGGAGCTGGAAAAGGAATCAACCTTTCGTGGTGATTGGTTTGCTGCTGAAGTTCGTTGTCGTGCGGATCTAGACTGTTGGGGTCAATGGCTACGAGTAATGCTGGAACACCCAGCTGAAAGACTCCCCGCGCCTCCACCCTGTGTCACTCCACAAGAACCGAGATACGCAGCTTCGCATTGGCGGACAAGAGAGCGGCTGAGAAGCGGCTTCGGATTCAGCCTGAGTACGACGCCAGACCACTGGTTCCAATAACGGCATTTTCTTAACCTGTTGCTTTGATTCGGTCGTCCATGCCACACGCGGTATTCGTCGCAGCAGGGCACACTTGGCAGGTCGGCGCCGCATTTTCGCTGACTCTAACCCAGACCTATGTCTTTCTTCGGTCAGACGCCTCTGTCGGGGCCTGCAGATCACTCGTGTTTCCTATGCTGTGACTCCATTGGCGACCTGCGTCCCACCGCTGCTTGTATGGCTGACAAGAGGGTCGCCTAGCAATATTACGATGCAGTCAGATCGGTAAACCGGATTGCATCCCAACGAAGTGCGCCACGAACGACAATCGCGGACCTTCCACCTACACGCTCCTGGTGCCTTCTGTGAAGCACAATCACAGGCCTACACATCTCCACTCTAACGTCTGCGGCCCGCCCCTCTTTCTACGGCATCCTACAGCTGTCATTGCTTCGAAATACAGACTTCTCGCATTTCCTGCGTCTCACGTGTGCATGTTCAGGAACGTCATGAATGCATATCATGGCCTTCAATCTTCCAGGCGTGCTTGTTCTACTTAGCCTAATCACCCAGTCGTCATCACAGCAGGATGATCCCGTCAAAGGATTCTGTCGACGATGGGGCCACTCAACGGCGCAGGTCGACTCAAGGCTATACATCGATGGCGGCATGATAGGACAAGTCCCTTTCAGGTCAAACTACTCAAGTAAGTGAAGGCTGAAGTATTGATAGACTCTGTTTCAGCTGTCTAACTATCGACCCCTAGATGATTGGCTTTTGTTCAGTGATTTGAACACTTCGACCGTCGATGCGGGAATGCCAATGCAGTCCGCATACTCAAAGCCCGGTCATATACCTACCGTTTCAGGCGGCTATACTTGGGCAGATGAAACGAACAAATGCTTCTATCAATTCGGCGGGGAATTTGCCCCAGGCACTAGCCCCATGGATTTCAGCATGTGGACCTACGATGTTCTTCTCAACCAATGGAATACTACTGAAACAATTGGCGAAAAGAATCCGCAACGAGTATCGTATGGCGCAGGAACGCAAGTCGAAAGTCGTGGGCTGGGATTTTACTTTGGCGGCTGGCTCAGCAACAAAACAACACCTGGTTGGACTGGACCCCCAATGGCTACGACCGGTCTGATGCGATTCGACATGTCTACCGGCGACTTGCAGAATACGACCGGTCCAGATGATATTGGGAGAGCTGAAGGACAACTAGTATTTCTACCTGTCTCAGATAGCGGCGTGCTTGTTTATTTCGGTGGCATCGAAGACTCGTACCGCAACGGTAGCTTTGACGCAGTAGGTGCAGATGAAACCCCAGCTAAGTCTCCGTGCTAATTAGTCGTATCAGGCAAACATGAGTGTATGTCATCGAGAGAGCTGTTATGTTTGGCACAGCTAATCCATCTAGACCATACATGTCTACGACATGGCTTCATCGAAATGGTATACACAGACTGCTTCCGGCGATATACCTGACACACGGAGGCAATTCTGTGCTGATGTCACCTGGCCTGATGACCAGTCGTCTTTCAACATGTAAGAAAATCTTTCTGGTAGTACAGCTGTAGAACATCTGAAGCCGGCTCTGGAGATCGTCGATATACAAACAAAAGAAAGGTCATCGGAGCCCAAGATTTTCCAAGATTGCTCAGAATCTAAGAGGTCGCTGGGATATGCCACGCTGCCACTGTTGCAGTATCGTCTGTAGACTTAGTGTACAAAGTGTGCTATGTTGATCGAGTTATGCTGACGCGCAACAGATACCTATATGGTGGATACGGCTTCGAAAAAGCAGCAGCGTACGACGACGTCTACATCCTATCGCTTCCATCATTCACATGGATTAAGGTCTTCAGCAGTGATGATGTTCCCTCTCAAGTTGGTCACGGCGGTTGTAGCGCAAACGTCGTCAACCATGCGCAGATGTTAGTCATAGGTGGCTGGTTTCCCCTCTACGACAAATGCGATGCACCCGAGGGACAAGGACAACACAACATGGTTCTAGGATACAACGGTGGGGACTCGAAGCTTTGGGACAAGTTTAGCCCTCAGCTAGACGACTACGTAGTACCTTCACCTATTATTGCCGCAGTTGGAGGCGGGTACGTCTTTACGGTCCATATCAAAAGTTGTCACAGCTAATAAGAACAGGCCTACCGGAGGTGCTACAAAGACTTCGCCAGCAACCTGGGGCCATCCAGATCTCGCTACATACTATACACTCAAACCTACTTTCACGGCAAGATCGGCAACTCGCTCTCTTCCCTCAGCTACAGAGTCAGCATCTGGTGGAAGCTCAAAGAAGTCAAACGTAGCAGCCATCGCTGGCGGCACAGTTGGAGGCCTGGTGGCACTAATTGTCCTTCTGTGTCTTATACTCTTCTGCTTACACCGGCGAAAGAAGTCTTTGAAGAAGAAAGAGGCCGAGACTCCATCTAGTCTCCCACCTGCTGAACTTGCCACCACGGTTCCCCATGAAATGGCCGACACAGATGCTAGCAAGTATGTTTCCATGCATGACCAGGCAGGTTCTATCGCCCTTGCTCATTATCCTGGTCATGTTCAACAACACTCACACTCCGCTAGCCACGAATACAACTCGCCCTACTCGGCTCAAGGCCCTCCCTCGTACGGTCACGCTCCCCCATACATATCTCCTGTTGAAGGCGGGCACACAGGTCGGTCACCACATGGAGAGCAATTCTTTACCGACGACGTTCGCAACTCTCCGCCAGGTCCTTGGAGCACCCAGGTTCAATATCCTCATTCTGCACTGAGCCAAGACGGCCAACATTTGTATCCCACTCCAACCACAGCACGACAGTCTCCAAGTGATGCGCCTCAACAGCAGGTTCCAATCTACTACCCACGACCCAGCGATCCATCGACGCGTGCGCAATACTCTCCACCTTTGTTCCCCGACAACCAAGGAAGTCCGACAGGGACTCAATATAGTGGCGACGAACAACCCCGCAACATCAGCACTACGCACACTCCAGCGCATTTCTATGCTCAGTCACCAACACATGGATCTCCCGGGAGAGACAATAGGAGACCCATACAGGGAAGATTTGTGGAGGAAGGACACATGTGAGATGGACACATTTGTGAGCTATTTACGAGTGTGTAGAAGGAGCATATTCGAATCCCGGTACATAGCTATCATCTCTTAGCAGTGGATAATTTGATTTCTTCAACGAAGCTGTTACAACACCCTTCTGCCAGGCTACAGCTAGAACATACGGGATCCGGAGCCAACTTCTCCAGGGAGAAGTCTAATATCCGTTAACGTATCGTGCATACGCAACTAGATTTGGATACGGTAACATCTCGGGCCATGTTCTCCTTGGAAAGAGCGCTTCGACAGCCGCCATATCTTCGCTTGTCCAGTTCACCACAAGATCGTCCCATGCGCTCTCGTCGAGGGCCTTGTCGCACTGTGCTAAGTGGAAAAGGCCGAGTGCGGAGTCGAGCTTGGTTGTTCTCCATTCGATGGGCCAGATGTCTGGGATGTCGTCTTCGTGAGCTACCGGCATATCTTCGATAGAGAGTTGATCTATGCTGGCAGCCTGCTCCTGCGTTTTTGGGAGGCGATCGGTCATTCTCAGCGATATATGGCTACTAGTATAGATACAAACAACGCAATAGCGAAGAGATCAGGGAGACAGGAATATTGCCTGTAATGTATCCCTCAAAGTCATCCAAGCCATCACAACGGACGTGTTGTAAGGCTGTGAAACTGTCAGTCTTTGATCGAACTTGCATAAGCGTGACGACAGATTTGATTACTAGGAAAAGTCTGCGGAGAATCAAATGTGAAGCTGTACAATTCTGGGTCGAGTGAGTATTGAGGTCTGACATTCATGTGGGAGTTGGGGTTTCAATACTAGCGCGTTAACACGTGTGATCGCGCTTCAGTTCCGCCGACGTTCACCTGGGCACACGTCACCCACACGTTTGGTCGAGTGCGAGGACACATGTCCTCAGCGACACCACAGCCCTCGCCGACTCGCTCATGATAACGCGAAACCCACAATGTTCAACGTGCGCTCGATTGTGCTGCTGGTAGTGTCCTACGTCGTCATTCCGCGCCTGACGTTTCTCCCCCAGAATGTGCACTCGATCCTCATCGTCTTCGGGCCCTTCCTCATTCCCCGCGTCCTCGACTGGGTCAACCTCGCGCGCGCAACCGGACGAAGCGTACCGATACGGCCGACGCCCCCGAGAGTCCAGCAGGCGCTGAACTTGCTCTTCGCGAGCGCTGTCGCGTGCCTCATTCTTTCCTTGTCGCGCTTCGCACCGGACAACATATTCCTCAAGACACAGAGCCACATACGAACCGAGACGAGTGTCTTGTTTGCGCGGCTACGGCACCTCCGGCCGCTCACAGACGAGGACGATGCCTTGCGGACAAAGTTCACCTCAAGTGTGCGCAACAAACTGCTGTACCTGGCATATGGCCCGGACACGCTGTTGAACTGTGTCTGGTGCACCACCGCCAACGGAAACGACCAGCAAAACCACTTCCTATATTCGCTCCCCAAGATAGTCACGTCGCACATCTTTCAACTAGGGGTTCTTGGTCTCGCGACATCATCGCTTGTGGGAAGCGAAGGCTCGCGGTTCCGCACACACGCAACGATTGTGGGACTGCTCATGATGGTGGTGGAAGTGTGGTACATGGGCACGTACGATATCACGCTCAACAAGCGCGCACAGTATGTGCAAGACATCGATTCGGCCTACTGGCGTGTTCGGTTTCTACGCTACGTCACCTTCGCAGTGGTTGACATGGCTTTCGCATTTGTCCTCTGGGCTACAAGCACGAACCGCTGGCTCGCCAAGCCTGTTTCCATCGCCGAACGCATCGAAGCAACCACACGAACGTCCGAAGACACCTTCAACAAGATGCGCGCGCTTGCTCTGCTTACAAACTCGGTAAACCGCGATCCAGCGTTGCGAGGCGTGCGCGAAGAGTACTGGAGAACGGAGGGCAAGGTTACAGCGGAGGTCGTACAGGACGAACTTGTAACGGAACAAATCAATGCTGCAATCAGCAGAATGGACTTCAGCACGCTTGAAGGACGAGTTGGCGAGGTTGCAGATGGCATCATGAAGGGCATCGATAGTTTGAGGGCAAGCCAGACATTGGCGGCGAGTCAGGTCAGCGATCCGTCGTCATCTCCGGCATCGTGAAGTTCACTTTGCGACGGATAGAGGTGGTGGCGGGGCTTCGGTAGATAGCGCCATTGAAAAGACTGTAATCGGCATGGCCGTCGTAGAATATGATACCCTGTTGTTTTGAAAAGGTCACTTGAGCATTTTTTCCCTGCGGTGAAGTTCCCCATCGCTTGTACCGCTGATTACCGAGCTACTTCGCCCTCTCCCACGGGACTCCAACTTCATGCTTCTGAGGGTTCAGTCCGACATCGCAGATACTACGCATCGTCACTCGTGCTACCCCGACATTTGAACAGGCCCGATATTGCACCGCTATGTTATACAATCCCCCATCTCCATGTCCGGGGATCGGACGCGCGAACTGGTCGCGGATACTAGCGGTAGGTACAAGGATACCGCAGGCTCGGCACACACGCCCTACGCCCGCCATGCGCATCCTTAGTCCTCAGGTACGCTAACGTCACGACCCCGGTTTCGACGGCTTCTGGAAGTCGCGTCTCTCGGCGCCCTCTTCGACGGCAAATTGCTTGTGTGATGTCCAACCAACGAGAAAGACGTTTGATGTCATAGAAGGAAGAGGCAAACGGGCGCAATCAGTCTCGAGACTGGTTTCTCTGGGGAGAGGGTCTAAATCGGCTGCAAGTGGAACCCTTTATCTTTGCATTCTTGAAGGGAACACACTAGACCGCCGCCGTAATCCGCAGGCGGCTGGGCAGACATTACATCGATGGATCGTTCGGGTAGGTGGGTTTGCTCCCGCGCGTGTGATAGGGACGCGTGTGACTCTTGACCGAATTTTTTCAAGGCCTTTGTATAAGAGCACGTCAGGGTACCCATCTTCGCATTCCACATTGAACTACTTACTTCCCTACCATACAGAAGCAACCGTAGATTCTTTAACCACCCGTTGCTATCTCAATTGATAGCTTAACAACTACCCGATCTTACACACAGCAATCATGGCACCCAGCGCCGTCACACCCCCGAATCATATCGAGACTGTTACCGAACTCACCCAAGACGGCATCAAATCTGCGCTTCTCAAGAACGCCCCAGCACAAATCGACTCGGCATCGCTCACAAACTCCATCACTGCCACACCACCAAACGAGCCCGCAAGCAAAAGCCAAGATGTTGTCGACGCACCCCTCGCTGAACTCGATGCCTCAAAGGTTTCTTGCACATTCACCAGCGCCCCGCGCTCCGTTCCCGCTGTAGGCTCAGCAGAGATGGCCAGTCAGAAGGTCTGCACCGACCACATGGTGCAAGCTCAATGGACTGTCGAGTCCGGCTGGGCAGCACCTGAGCTCAAGCCCTACGGCCCGCTTTCTCTCGCACCCACAGCCTCATGCCTGCACTACGCCACCGAATGCTTCGAAGGCATGAAGCTGTACCGTGGATACGACGGCAAACTTCGTCTTTTCCGCCCAGACCTGAACTGCCGCCGCATGCTCATGTCCACGAACCGTATCGCTCTCCCCGCATTCGACCCTGAAGAACTTCTCAAGCTCATTGTCAAGCTTTGTGCCACCGATGGTGCCAAATGGCTCCCCAAGGACCGACCAGGACAGTTCCTCTACATTCGTCCCACCATGATTGCTTCCGACCCCGCTCTCGGTGTTGAGCGACCGAAAGAGGCTCTTCTGTTCGTCATCCTATGCTGCTTCGCACCCATGGGCGACATGAGCGGTGGTATCAAGTTGCTCGCCTCCCAAGACGACATGTGCCGCGCATGGCCCGGCGGTTTCGGCTACGCCAAAGTTGGTGCCAACTACGGTCCCTCGCTGGTTGCCCAAGGCGAAGCGAGAAAGCGGGGATACCACCAGATCCTCTGGCTCTTCGGCGACGACTGCACCATCACCGAGGCAGGCGCAAGCAACTTCTTCGTCGTGTGGAAGACTAAGGAAGGAAAGCTACAGCTTGTCACTGCCGACCTCAACGAGCGTATTGTCCTCGACGGT